AAAAAACCTGACTGCGTAAAAAGTGAATTAAAAGAAAATAACAAGTAGACGAAGGAACATAGTATTATGCAGTCGGATACATAAATACACGCAACTATTCTAAGTAGTGCTCGTACCTATGTCTCCGACTGCATAATGCTATGTTCCTCTGTCAACTTGTTCTCATCTTCTCATCATCAGATCTTCTCATCTCATCATCAGAGACCTCTCTCTCCCGTGATCATGGATGCTGTAAAGCATTCGAAACGTCGGGAACCAAAAATCAAAATAAATCCGCGAAATAATCCGAAAAGATAGTTTTATTTAAAAATGTCAAACATTCGCGTAAACCTAAGAAAGTATTATTGTTCTCATCTTTTTTTTTTTTTTAGTTCACTTTTTATGTTATACTTTAGTAATAATTTAAATGACCTTAAAGATTTTCAAATATGTGATTTCAAATGTATAATTTTTATTTGCGCATCAAGAGTTCTGTACCGTTATATATTGTGTTGTCTTTACTAATATATTTATACGCGAAAATATTTTTTTACTTTTTCGCAATACATACTTTATTATTTTCAAAAATAAGTTCGGGTTTCATATTATTTATTAGATATTATTATTATTATTTTTAGTAACTCAAAATATCCAGTATCTGAAAAGATATAAATGATGTATATTCTGTAAATTAATTTTCGTTTAAAGTATTTAGCAAGTCCACTATCTCTATTTTTTGCACAATTTCTACTTCATCGTATCAAAATGGAAGAGAGTACAATGATGCAACTCGTATACAATGTTTACAACTTAAGAACCATGTAACTCTGCTAATTTGAGCTTTTAACTAACGTACTAACAGGCTAATATCTACGTTATTTTTAAAGACCCAATGCTATGTACACCTAAAACTTAGTCTCCTTCCTTCCCCTTATTGTTGAAGTTACATCTATACAAATAATAAAATTGTAACAAGGCTGAGTCTGTACATGAAATATTTTTTGGAAAATCTTATTGAAATAGACATTATTATCGATACAGAGGCCGAATCTATAGTTTTTAGATTTTTTGTCTGTCTGTCTGTCTGTTATCGCATCACGGAAAAACCACTGTAGGGATTTTGATGAAATTTAGTATGATGATAGCTGATCCGGGTCAACATATAGGATACTTTTAGTCAAGTACTTTTTGTAGTCAGAAGTTCAGTATCAGTAGCTACTATTATGTTATATGGATTACTCGCTGTCTAGTCCCGTTACAAAGCTTAGGTGGCTTATTCATTACAGGTGTGACACCTTCAGGAGGAGTTTATGAGAAAGGAGGCCTGGTGGGTTAGCACTGCCAAGGAACTCCACAGTATAGTGAACTGCTTTATCAATATGCATCACTGTGTCGGCAAACCTATATTCTACTTCTGACTCTTCAACGGACTTAAGCAGGATGCTATCAAAGCCCCCCGAACGTGCGCTCATGTTGTCGTGATGGGGGGTGGCCCTCTTCGGTGGGCGGTGTACCATGTGGGTTGCTCCTGGTACTTCTCTGATAGCAGAGTGGACCTTGGAGCAACCCCATGGCTGTGGTGGTGTGCTTCGGTAGACCTGCCGCCAGGGCATCGTAGTTGAATGCGTAAGCGATCCTGCGACGCCCCATTAAGACGGGGAAGGTTTTGTTGGGTTTTAATAGGTAGTACTGGCTTTCCCGGGGGAGAAGCCAACTCCTACCGGGCGCGTCCCCAGGTGGCGGATAGGGGAATGCCACCCGCTTAGGGCGGCGGGTGGTACCGGGGAAATCCGGCGCGGACCAAATGGCTTGGATGGGACCGCTCGTCTAGGCCTCGAGCCGAAGACGTTGCGGCCACCGGTGGTGGGACCGCTTGGTCCCACAACCGGATGATGGGTGCCGGTTGCGGGACTGTGGTCGCAGGCCCGCATCCGGCGGAGGGGTAGGCCGCGGCGGGAGAGGAGTGCCGGTATTTCGGTGCGCCGTTCTCCCTACCTTCCGCGGCCTAGACGGGGCCGCCACCGTTTGATGGCGGAAGCGGTGGGGCTGCAGGGGAAGAGGAGTGTCGGTGTTTCGTTGCCGCTCTCCCTGTCCTCTGCAGCCGATTGGAAGTGGCCCATTTCGGTGGGCGGAGGTTCGGTTTTATGGAGCTGCTCCGGGTACCTCTCTGGTGTAGCAGAGTTGACTGTGGAGCAGCCCCATCGGTGTGGTGGTCAGCCGTTGGCGGACCTGCCGCCGGGGCGCCGTAGTAGTTATGCGCAAGCGATCCTGCGGCGTCCCATTAAGGCGGAGGGGAGGGGAATGTCGGTAAGGTAGTACTGGCTTTATTACGCCGGTGAGTCCCACACCTCGTGCGTAAATGCATTTCCCAACGTTAAAAAAAAAGGATGTTACCAAAAGCAATCGTACTGTTGTTTTTGGGGGTTAGTGTACCGCGTTCACAAAGCCAAGCAAAGACTTCGTTTGTATATTTAAAACAGCAGTATACTCTATAGTTAGGCTTTCTCTAGCGTTTGCTAAGTCTGTTTTAGTTGTCACGGCCGATTTTCATACAAACTTTCATCCCCTGTGTTACCCCCTATTGGGAATTTGAATTTCAATAAATGCTAAAACAAGTATTTAAATATTGTATTGAAGAGCATTAATACCAAGTTTCAAATAATGATTATAAATGTTTTTTTGCCAATATAAACTTTATAACCTCCTTTTAACGCAAGGGTAAGACACTTTTCTTCCATTTCCTATGAGTTTGTTCCACGATGTTAGAGTCGATATGTATAATTTGTAAGATTTCATGGTTTTCTTTAATTCTAAGATACCATGTTTGTTAGAGATATTTTATAATTACTATAGACTCTATCGATTAATTCGATAAAATAGTAACGGTATCCTTATCCTTTTTTGCAATTTTATTTCGTTCGATTTCCGGTTCGGTTATGCTTTTTTTTTTAAAATGCAGTTATAATTATTTTTTAAAATAATTCAAAGTTTCCTTTGAATAAATCTTGATAACTTCAATATTTAATATAATTTTCTTCCATGTATAGGACATGTTCATTTGTTCCACCGAGTATATAGATTATATGAGTATATATAATTATTATTATAGTTATTATAGATTGATTATTTAGTGCCATTTGACTAACGTTAAACTTCTGAAATATACTCGTAAATCTATATATATTGTTAATAATAATATTAAATAAAATTAATAATTTAAAGACTTGCAGTACGTACGAGTATAATAAATATTATCTCCTACACAAAGATAGGAAAAGACCGTCTCATTCCAATATTCTTGTGTAAATACAGCGTTCATTTAGTTGCGGCGGGTTATTACCTAACTTTTATCTGATTAGAAACTAAGCATCTCGACCATAAGCTTTAATGGTTACTATATGAATTGTTATAGTTTCTCCTTTCTGTATTTTATATTATATGCTTGGCTCTTGCTAACTAAACTCTTTATCATGTGCACGATATCTATATTATACTATTTAAACAATAAATATTTGTAATTTACGCATGATTATAATGAAAAATTAACAATATAATTAAAATAAAAACTTAAAAAAAATTGAAACCGACTTCCAGGCACTAAAATGTAAAAAATAACTAAACGGGGGTTTTCATTTAGAATAGATACCTAATCAGATATTTTCGAAGTCGGTGCTAGCCGATGTAAAGCAAATCTAATATATTTCGATACGTAAAATACATATTTACCTATTAAATATTCATATCTTAACATATTGAAGGCTTTTTTATTTTTCCATTTTTAGTTTAGACCTAATAAGCAGGTAATTTGTAAGAAGAAAGTTTTTTAATAACAATATATTCGATTAAGCAATTTATTTAAAAAAAAATATTGTTGATTTTTTTAAAAATCGCTCTACCGATTTCGATAAAATTTATCTGGGAAGAATACCCTTTGAAACAAAAAAAAAAACCAAATCGGTTCAGACGTCTTCGAGTACTCGGTGAACATAGATAAAAAAAAGAAAAAAAGATTCCGACGAATTGATAACCTCCTCCTTTTTGGAAGTCGGTTAATAAAATTAATAATTATTCTGTAAAGCCTTTACTCGTATTCGCGGGTCCACTATAAAATAGTTTTATTTAAATTTCAACCACCCCGTCACATTTTACGAGTGGAATTTTAGAAAAATGAGAAATATTGGTCTTATATCTTAGCCGTAGAGTTCGTGCAACAGGTAATGCTACACCGTTCAGTCTACGAGCTATTGCTACAATTCTTAACGACGCGACGGCTCAATGTTGGCTATAATACTTAAGTTTTAAAGTAAACTAGTATATAATATATTACTGATAAATAATATTAAATTTAATTTAATTTACGTAGGTATGATGGACAAAAAGAAGTAACTATTTTAATAATAATTTTTTAAAGACCATAAAATACGTATTTAAAATAAATAAATACACATTTAAAATTTATATCTTTCAATAAAACTTTCTCTGTCTACATTCCAAAATCTTAGACTTTAAATTCATTATTATGGTTTTTGAAGTTTTAGCGTTTTCGGGGACAGTTAGTGAGTCGCTTTTTTATATAGTTATTCATAAATGTACATAATTCGCGAAAAAATCCGAAAAGAGAAATTTATTTAAAATGTCAAATATTTCCATAAATCGAAGAAACTATCCTATACTTAGATTTAATTACGTATAAAACAAGTTTTAATTTAAACATTATTTTAACTATGTTTATTTAAATAATAATCTAAAAAACGTCGAAAAATTGTGAAAAGATCTTATTAGTTAAAAACATGTATGTAAACCAACGTATAAGTTCGACCTTTCTTTACTTTAACTTATTACAACTATCGTCTTTATAAGTACTTCCGCGAATTTTCAAATCTTAAAGATGCAGTTTAGAATCATGAACTTATCTCTTAGTACAATCATAACTTCGTAGACATAATTTCCAAGCTGCTTATTGCAGACAAATTCACGACCAGCCCGAAGAAATTGCTTTTTAATCAAATAAAATTCACTTACCCTCGAAGCGGGCAGCGAGATACGAAACGAGGTACCGGGTCGGAGCCGGCATGAGCCGCGGCCGCTCTGTTCAACCCCGCGACTACAACTGATCTTCCACCGCTAAAACTTCCCTCTAGCGCGTCATCACTCACCCCATTTTCAGTCGACCAATGACTGGACGACGATTCTAGCAAAGCTTTCCGGTTTCAGCCGAGTGTCGCCGAATGTATGGGGTGGCGATTGGATCTTTTAATCTGAAACGTAAATGCATACAAAAAGAAAATAAGTGAGCTGTAAGCTTCCGTGCTCGGGATGTAGGCCGTAGCGGTAGAGCTCGTGCAACAGGTAAAGCTGCATCGCTCAGTCTACGAGCTTTTGCTACAATTCTTAACGACGCGACGACTCATACTTAAGTTTTTTTTAAAGTAAATTAGTATAAGATATATTATTGATAAATTATATTAAATTTTATGTACATAGGTATTATGGAAAATGGAAGAAATGATTGTAATAATAATTTTGTTCTGACTTTAATATTGTAAAAAGGAAAGGTGAGTTCGTCAAATTATAAAATGCCTAATTTACAATTCAAATCGTTTGTTTATAGGAGTCGGACAGGATTAAAGAGAAAATTTATTCTTGGGATAGGATTTCTGCTTATTAGTTGAACATAAATTTTTGTATTTGTTGGATACATAATTTTAAACATAATATTGATTCCGGATTGCTGCAGCGACTCATTTGGGGATACAAATATCACAATGAACATATTGCAGTCGTAAAATTTTATTTTAACATTAAAATAAATTGAAACAGTCCCATAATCCTCTTTGATTACGTGTACCGCAAAATACGTATTGTGTGTAATTGAAATCCCTTCAAATGGATTGTTTGGTGGAGTGCTACGTGTGCCCCATTAGATTACTTGTTTAATTCTTGACCACTGGCGGCGCAGCGGCTTGGGTGGCGCTCGTAATCTAAGTTGTAAACTAAATCTTGGGGCCCGTCTCACATATCCCCCGTAAGCCTGGCTTGCTTGCTATTTGAATGTTCCTCGAACGACCACGAATTAGTATGCGCGCTCCATTCTGTCCAACGTCCCAATGGGTCGCAAGCACCTATTCTCTTCATTCTTATAGGTCTAATTTGTTTTGTAGTATTTCATATTTTATACAATTATTTTATATTTAAATTAGCAGGTATAATAATCAATATACATATCACATTAGGTGTTATTGAAATATGTTTAAAAACATATAATATACTTCAAAAATGATTTTTTTTATGATGTATTATGTAAAACTTAACCAAGTATTATTTTATAATATGATGAGTCAATAGTAATTTGTAGCTAATAAATATCTTTATAATTTCTTGATATACAGGAAGTTAAACAGACATGAAACTACAGTACACAGATTTTTTGCCGCTTCTATCCATATTAAACATTGAAACTTCACCTGTTGATTCCGAAAGGAGAGCATTGGAACAGAATGAACAAACAAATGTTATTTTATAAAATGCCAAATAAAAAAAAACATTTTGCTAAACCGGTATAGGTGCGACATACATTTCATCTATCATTCTTTCATTATTTATATTTATTCCATACATAAGATATATTTTTAATTGAAGAAGATATTTATTTAATATATAAGCGATAGTATTTTACTTGAATGCAACATAGAGCACTTAGAGAATAGACCCCAAGCGTGGTTCAATTTGTAAGCGGGATCTTGGGATATGTTCATTTTGCGTATTACAGAACTAGCGCGGAATCATTCCGGCGGACGCCTGAATTATGCAAATATGGATTCAAATATATTTGTGCGAATAAATATTGTGCTGTTTCAGGGATAGCGGCGCTTGTACGGAAACAATAACAAACAACTATAATAGTAATGAAAATGAATACCGTCCACTAGTTGTAAATATTTTGGCGTTTGTGGTCACCATATGAATGTTTTATAAGAGAGCAGATTATTTATATGTTATATTAATATATAATATTGACCGCGGCTCCGGCCGCGTTCAGATGACCCAAAACCAAATTCTTAGGTTTTACATATTATTATATTCTTAGAATGCAGTATTTGTATTTTTTCTCAGAAATGCGATATTTTTACGCGGTAAAAAGTGTCCTATATGTTGACCCAGATAACCAGCTATCACCATACCAAATTTCATAAAAATCCCTCCAGTGGTCTTTCTGTGATGCGGTAACAGACAGATAGGCAGACAAAAATTCTAAAAACTATAGATTCGGCCTCTGCATCGATAATAATGTTTAGTTCAATAAGATTTTCCAATAAATATTTAATGTACATATTCGGCTTAGTTACAATTTTATTATATGTATAGATATTATATGTGTAGATTAGCATATAATCCCATAAAAATAAAATTACGAATCAATATAAAATTACAATTATAAATCAACAGATAATACTTAATCGTACATTGTGCTAATGAAATAATTTTTGTTAAACTCATTGTTAAAATAGTTTATGTTCTTAATGTATTAGCCTATTGACAAAAAGCATATACAGCGATTGTAAGGTTCAGGCAATTTAAAAATTTGTCCCGAAGGCGTCGCCTGCGTTGTCTATATTATGCGAGCAAGGTACGGGTGGCCGACGCAAGTCGCCCCCGTCTCAAGAATTTTGAAGCTCATAGAAGTATCTTAAATTTATATTTAGACTAGCATTGGCTCCGCCCGCGGTCTAACCAAAAACCAAATTGTTGGGTTTTACATATTAGTATACTCTTACATTGCAGTTTTCGTATTTTTTCTCAAAAATGAGATATTTTCTCGCGGTAAAAAGTCGTATATGTTGACCCGGATAATATTCCTAATTTTCCTAGTTAATGTTCCTAATTTCCGATATTCGTGCTAATTTTAAAAGACTTCGGGTACTGTCATTTTACGTTGATATTCTTTGTTTTTATATTAACATATCTTTAAAGTTGATATACTCGTATTTAGATTTCATGAAATACTTGTTACTATGTGCTCTTACGGTGGTTTTGCAAAAAAATAATAATTAACGGGTTCATATAAAAGATACGTGTTTTTGTTTTATCCTAAAAATGATGATGATGATGATGATGTTCTCCTAGCCGATTTCGGCTACGGCGGCCAATCTCATTGAGATTAGCCAACTGCGCAGGAGATATTATAGTGCACAAGTGTACGCGCAGACACAACGTGCACTCTCTATTCCTATCACTCTCATACTCCGGTGGGACGACCACTCGACACGACCGGTGAGAGTTAAGGCGCAGGACCGACGGCTTTACGTGCTCTCCGAGGAACGGGGGTGAAACACCGCCAACTTCCCAACTCCGGGCTGTTACTGAGACTTACTATACAGAAAGACTCAATAACTAAACTTGGCCCGACCCGGGACTCGAACCCAGGACCTCCGGGTGTGCAGCCGTACATGCTAGCCACTACACCATCGAGGCAGTTGATCCTAAAAATAGTAATACATATATACATATAATATGCATGTATGCGTTAAACTTAAACTAATATCCCACGATAAGAATACTATAAACTTCTCGTGGATAAACCTATAATAAAAAAAACTGATCAAGTTTTATTTGTTTTATTTTGATTTAATTTGGTTTGTTTTGGACTACACTAAATGCTCGACCTGTTTTTTTATATTTTTATATTTTTTGCTTACATAACTTTTTCCTAAATGGAGAAAATATACTGAGTAAAAATGAATGTCTTTCCGGTTCGTATTAATTGATTTCAGGTATAAATATGTATGTATGGATGTATGTGCTAGGTTCTTAGCGCCGCTTTTTATATCATTCCAGGACAAGCATCTATATTGTCACAATAAGAATTAATTTCGAGTGAGCTTTAGCTCAGTAGGCATAGCCAATCATACAAAAAATAATTTCCTCCCCCCTTATAATATAAGAGTATTTGGCGAAAATATATCTGTTGGTTTGTCCATGTTTTTGTATAAAAATAATAATAATTTAAGAGCATTTAATCTTATACCAGTATATAAAGTGGGATTAGTCAGTTGGTAATTATATTTAAGGATTAAGCGAAGCAGCAGACTGTTTATAGATTTTATGCGTTCTATAATTTTGGAAGTCTGTAGCACACACCTAGTTGGGCGGGCGGGCCGGGGGCGCGAAGTAGACTTGATTGGAAACCCTATTCCATATTTATTATGGGCCTATTTTGTCATGTTTATTGACGCGCTTGTCGAGATACAAACTCAGTTATTAGATAACTTTCAAGCTTATGTGGTTAAATAATATACTATTTATTTAATGTTTTCAAAGGAAAACAAAACTAAGGTACTTAATGTTGAAATTATTAAAATATAAAATTCTCGGGTATCCAAACATAATGTACTGAAAATATTCGTTTATTGTATTAATTTAATATTATTAAAATTTTCTAACCTGGTTTTATATATATATATATTATTCCAATAATCCTGGTTATATATATATATATTATTCCAAGTACATACCTAATTATATAATATATTAAATATATTTTTTTTTGGAGATAGTTGGGGAGCTGGAGAGTAGCATAGGCTAGTTTTTACTGCGGGAGATTATCTCATTCCTAAGGGATAACACGTTATAACACAAAACAAACAAAACGTAGGTACCTAGGGAGTAGGGAAGAACCCGAGTAAAGCGAGTGTGAGTCGCTAGTATTTAAAAATTTCCTGCACTTATGATATTTAATGACATTATATTCACACAAATTTATTTTAAAAGCAACCTTTTTGTTCTAACATGTAAAAATGCCTAATTAAAAGTTCACTGATATATGTGCCTTTAATTATTGAAATTCAATATGAGTATTTATTCTGAACCCCAAAAAAGCATGCCATGAACATGATATTTTCCAGGGTTGGCGCAAACACTTAATACGAGGTCGAAAGTCTATCAACGAGCGAGCAGTGCACGGAGACAGTACGCTCTTCGTGCCTCGTTTACTATTATTGCACCATTAGAATCGGCTGGCTTTGCGGGGATTGAAAAACATTTAAGAGATTCAATTACAAACAATAGGAAACAAAAGCAATTTATTTAAACGTAACACATTGAATTACTTCTATAATATATATTATAAGCCTACCTACACATTTTGTGTAAAAATATAAAGTAGTTTTATATGATATATGTATATTATAATATATACATATAATAAAATTGTAACTGATCGCTGTCTGGACATGGGAGATATTTGAGAAAAAATATATATTATTGGGTGTCTTTTTAACACGATAGAACCCAAAACAATGATTTTTAGAATTTTTGTCCAATTACGGTGCGGTTTTCTCTCACGTATTCTGGTAAGCTTCACTTAATATTTAGTGTTTGTTTTATTTCAATCGGTTTATAAATAAAAGCGGTACGTTAATTTAAAGAATTATCCAAGGATGAGCCCGAGAGAAGCGAGGGACAGTCGCTAGTATTATAATGTAATTTTTACATAAAACACTAATGAAATATATTCGATATATTACGCTATATTTTATTGTAATCAAACGATGTTGTTCTTTTTCGAATTAATAGGGACGATTTCTTTTAACCGACTTAAAAAAAGGAGGGGGTTCCCAATTCGTCGGAATCTTTTTTTTTTATGTATGTTCACCGATTACCGGAAGACGCCTGAACCGATTTGGAAATATTTTTTTTGGTTTCAAAGGGTATACTTCCCAGGTGGTCCAATATAAATTTTATTGAAATCGGGAGAGCGGTTTTTAAAAAAATCAACAATAAATATATATTTTTAAATAAAATGTTTAATCGAATATGTTATTAAAAATTTTCTTCTTACAAATTACCTTTATTACGTCTACACTAAATATGGAAAAATAAAAACTTAAAAAAAAACCGACTTCCAGGCACTAAAATGTAAAAAATAACTAAACGGAGGTTTTCATTTAGAATAGATACTTAATCAGATAAATAACAAAAAAAAACCTGAACTTAGGGGTTCAGGTATTAAATATGATATATACGTAGAATACATATATGTTATATATACAATAACTTCTTTATAATATCAGTAATTATCACTTTAAAAAATAAGAATAGAGATAAAAATCTTCGAGTAGTTACTATCAAAGCAAAGT